ATTGACTCCTATGAGGTTAGTACTTTTATCACTGCCACTTTAAAGGAAGGCTCAGAGGCACTCTGCAGTCACAAAGCTGGAGGAGTGCAGTGATACCCGGAGGCTCCAAGACTCTTCTGGTAACTTCCTTGGCCCTTCCTGTTCACTCCTGCCTGACTTCTTTTCCCGCCTGTCTCCATGTGCTTCCTGCCTCTAAGCTCTGATTCCCATGCTCAGTCTCTCCCAAATCCATTGGATTTGCCCTTGGTCTCTTCCATTCAATTCTTGACTCTTCCTCTAGGACTAGGCCCAGATCCACCCCCTCTTCTTTTGGCTGTGGATGGCCCTGGGAGGCATGCCTGGCCTCAGATGCCCCTTGACCCAACTGGAGGAAGGGTGGGGGACCCAGCAGAAAAGGCTGCAGCCTCCCTGGGCGCCATTTCAAAGCTGATGCTGTTCGCCCTACTCAGGGTCTCAGCTCCTCCCCTCTCCTGCATTGTTGACCAACAGCCTGGGTCTGACGTGGAAGCAAAAGAATTCCCATTCAACTGGGCCCCAGGGATGGCGGGGGGTGGGGGGGCCTCTCTGCCAGTAAGTGACACCCTCTGCTACTGAAAGGCTTCATGTTCCTGCCCTGCCAAGCCTCGGGTGGCCACCACGTGACAGCACCAGGGGCACGTGTCTTCTGGGACCACTTGTGAGCTGGGTGGCTGGCAAGTTTGTTTCTCCATGTCCTGGGGCAGGAGCAAGGGTGTGGGTGGTCATAATGCACCAGAGCTCTGGGCTGGCTGAGCAGTGTGCAGTTCCTGCTGCCAGCCCCGATATGGCACGGACAGCTGGAAAAACTGACCATGTGGCTTGACTATCTCAGAGGATTGCTCCATTTTTCCTCAGCATAATTTTTCCATGAATAATCTTTAAAGCTCTTTAAGTGGCTGTTTCTTTAGCAGTTTTATTGGAACATAAGAGAACTGACAGTCTCTGTGGGGAATGAGATATCATGTTGAAAAAAAAAATCTGGTTTTTATTACATTTCTTTCAAGAAAGCAACATGCTGCCCAACAGACCGCTCATTGATTGGAACAGCAAAGAGCCCAGAGCCTCCTAGAAATAGCCCTGGAGCAGACGGGATGATGAACAGCGATGGCAAAGACTCAGACAGGCCTGGGACCTCACTTGTGTCTGTCACTTGCAGGCTGAGTGACCTTGAACAAGTCACTTCACACCTCTGAACCTGAATTCTACATTTGCAAAAAGGACCAGTGACCCTGACTGACAGCCTCCCTGTGGGGAGTAAGCCATATGGAATCCCTCCCTCCCTCACGTGACAAACTTTTCCTGAGCCCAGACATTGGGCCTGCCCCTGGGGCAGGAGCTGGAGATACTACACTGGATGAGAAAGATGTGTTTACAGTCAAGTGTGGGAGAGAGAGAAGTAACCAGGTAATTACACCAGGAGAGACATCTACTTCTACATGGCAATAGTAACAAGAATAACGTAAAGGTAACAACTACACCAATAATATAACTACAACAATAATGATGGTAATAATGACAGCAGCTAACATTTACATCCACACGGTGCCAGGAACTGTGATAAATGCTTCATACACCTGATCTTATTTAAGTCTCACAATAACACTGCCATGCAGGTACTGCTGCTATCTCAATTTCAGGATGCAGAACCTGAAGAGTTCAGGAACTTGCCCAGGTGAGCAGTCAGTGAACGAGAGCCCTAAGCACGGTGCACATGAGAACACAGAGGGAACCCCTGGAAAGCCTGATGTCCAGGTGGGTGCAAGAGCTCCAGGAACAGTGATGGATGCAGACAGAACAGCATGTGCACAGACTCAGTGTGACAGGGCAGGGTCTTTGAAGAAGCCTGGAGTTCAGTGAAGGGAAGGCATAGAGATTTTTTAGGAAGGGCTGCTGATGCACTCATTCAGATGTGTACCCTAGAAAGTGTGCTTTGGTTGGAGAGCAACTGGATGTGGCCAAGACTTGAGGCCACAGGCTGGGGGTGTGGAGGGAGGGACATTTGGGGTGACCGTCAGTGGAGTGGTATCCCTGGTACTGTCAGGCTTTGGGGACAGGATGAGAAGTTCAGTTTGAAATTGATGTCTGGAGGCCATAGTCCATCTGTGAAGACAGACATAGTGCTCATGGCTGCTGAGGAGGACATGTGTTTGGGATGGGAAGCCTTGTTCCCACAGATTTCCGGCAGCATCCAAGTGGCCTGCCTGGGACAGCACTGCCCTATTTAAGCAGCCTGGCAGCCCTGCTGCTGCTTACAGGGGCACTTTCCAAGTATTGCACATTGGAAATTAATGGGAAGCAGCTGTAGCAGAGGGGAAACCACTCCACTTGGGAGTCACAAGACTTGGGTTCCAGTCCAGCCTCTGCCTCATGCTGAGCTGGGAGCTCACAGTCCAGTCTCATCCTTTGGAGCCTGCACTTTCTCATTGGAGGAGGAGGCTTGACAACTGTGTAACTGGGAGCTCTTGTGGGTACCACTCTGAGCCTCTGGTGCACAGGGTGATTTTTGTCCAACGTGAAGGGGACTCAGTGTTCTCCATATCCCTCTTGCCCGTGCTGAGAATCCAGTTCCCAAAGACTCAGGCCCTCTCCAGGTCTTCCAGACCCTGTGGCTCTCCAGCACACTGGGGCCCTCTGCACAGAAAGTCTGTGTTGAAACCCTTCTCTGGCCAGGTTTCACAGTGGAGCCTGGGAGCTGGTCACTTTCACATTCACACACATTGTTTCTCACACATGTGGCTCTCACAGGTCCTCACTGAGCCAAGAGCTGTCTCACACATCACTCAGGGGGCCTGGTTCATTTTCCTTTTTTTTTTCTTGAGATAGGGTCTTGCTCTGTTGCCCAAGCTGGAGCTCAGTGGCATGATCATGGCTCACTGCAGCCTCCACCTACTGGGATCAAGCCATCTTCTCACTTAGGCCCCCTGAGGAGCTGGGGCTGTAGGCATGCACCACCATGCCCAGATAAATTCTTTATTTTTGTAGAGATGGGGTTTTGCCATGTTGGCCAGGCTGGTCTTGAACTCCTGGGCTCATGCAATCATCCTGCTTTGGCCTCCCAAAGTGCTGGGATTACAGGTGTGAGCCACTGCGCCTGGTTGGCCTGGATCATTTCTTTCTGCAAATAGCATCCAATCACCCTTCCTAGGGCAGATTCCTAGGCCACAGGAAATGCGGAGCAGCAGATGCTGGGGGAGCTGCTTGTACTGGTGAGGAGCTGGGCCACACCTAGGCATGTAGGTTTGAGTCTTGCCTCTTCTGCTTGACTTTGACACGATAGGCTGCTAAGATGGGAAACTCCAAGATCAAAGGTGATGTGAAATTCCAGAGTAGTGGGCCACCACTGGCCTTCTAGCCCTGGAGCTCCTCACAGAGGGCCCCTCCCACTCATCCATTCTGAAACTATAAACAGGCAGAGAAAGAGAGTGTTTCCAGAGAGGGGAGCATGTGGAGAGAGGGCCTGCCCCTTGCCCTGGACTGTTCTCTTTTTCTACTCACACATAGTTAGGGGAGTCTTCACAGGCCCCCTGGGGAGGCTGAACTGTGCCTCTAGCAGTCAGGAGACCCAGGGGACCTGCGGTGCCTTCCTCAGGCCTGACAAGACCAAATAGCTGTGCCAGAAGACAGTGGTGGCCACAGGTAGGTCTGTTGTGCTCACACGTCTGTTAAAATGAGGACAGCTATGGCCTCCTGTGGACCAAGGTGGCCCATGTGAGGAAACTTGGCAAGCAGTTGAGGGCTGGAGGGGACCCAAGCATCAGAAAGTTGGCAGCATGCATCAGACTTGGGGGGGCATGGAAGAGGCTGCAAGGGTCCCCAAAATAGATTTGCATCTGCCTGGATCAAGGGACTTGTGGAATCTCTGAAATACCCATGAAAGTGCCTGGGACAAGAAGCATCAGCGGTATCAGCTGCCAGCTAGAAGGCCCTGTGAAATGGTTTGCCCCTCCAAATCTCATGCTGAAATGTGATTTCCAGTGTTGGAGGCAAGGCTTAGTGGGAGGTGACTGGATCACTGGGCAGATCCCTCATGAATGGTTTAGCACTATCCCCTTGGTGATAAATGAGTTCTCATTCAGTTCATGTGAGGTCTGGTTGTTTAAAAGTGTGGGACCTCCCCTCTCCTCACCCCTGGCTCTCTTGCTCCTGCTCTCACCATGTGACATGGCTGTTCCTCCTTCACCTTCTGCCATGACTGTAAGCTTCTTGAGGCACTCACCAGAAGCCAAGCAGATGTTGATGCCATGCTTGTCAAGCCTGCAGAACTGTGAGCCAATTAAACCTCTTTCTAAAATTACTCAGCCTCAGGGATTTCTTTATGGTGATGCAAGAATGGCCTGACACAGAAAATATGTACTGGAAGTGGGGTATTTTCTGTATTAGTCCATTTGCATTTGCTATAAAGGGATGCCTGAGGCTGGATAGTTTATAAAAAAGAGGTTTAGGCTAGGCTTGGTGACTCACACCTGTAATACCAGAACTTTGGGAGACCACAGTGGGCGGATCACCTGAGGTCAGGAGTTCGAGAGCAGCCTGGCCAACAAGGTGAGGCTCTACCTCTACTTACAATACAAAAATTAGCTGGGCATGGTGGTGGGTGCCTATAATCCCAGGTACTCAGGAGGCTGAGACAGGCGAATCACTTGAACTCAGGAGGAAGAGGCTGCAGTGACCTGAGATCATGCCACTGCACTCCAGCCTGTGTGACAGAGTGAGATTCCATCTCAAAAAAAAAAAAAAAAAAAAAAAGAAAGAAAGAAAAGAGGTTTACTGGCTCATGGTTCTACAGGCTAGAAGGAATTATGGTGCCAGCATCTGCTTCCAGCAAGGGCCTCAGGAAACTTTGGTGCAGGCCACCACACCTGGCTAATTTGTTTGTTTGTTTTTTACAGATGAGGTTATGTCATGTTGCCTACGCCAGTCTCAAACTCTACTCTGGGCTCAAGCCATCTATGCTTCAGCCTCCCAAAGTTTCATGATTATAGGCATGAACTACCATGCCTGGCCCCTAAAGATGAGATTTGCAGGGGACAAACCTCCAAACCCATATCACCCTATGCTCCAGTTATGACTGTATCCTCTCCCCCAGTCCCTGCAGGCCAAAGAGATGGAGAAAGGCTTAGGGAGAGAGAAGGACCAAACACCCCTGCTCTCTTCCCACAAGAAGCCAGGCCTGCAGCACCCCAGCTAGGTTAAGTCAAGATTAGATTTAATGTTAGATGAGGTTTGGCGTTCTGATTCTTACATGGAAGTTGCCTTCTGAGGACCAGCTGGGGACAATGTGTGACCCAAAACTGACCATAGGAAAATCAAGGACATGCCAATTTCATGGTTACTTGCACTATATGGATGCATGGAACTGTGGAACAGAGCCCAGAGGTGGTCCAGAGCCTTGAGCTTGACAACTGGCTCTGGCACTTCCTCAATGCATGAGGCTGGGTGGGCACCTGCATCTTCATCTATTGAATGGGGATAATGGCCCCCTCTCACAATGTATGTGTCAGAGTCACTGAGTGAGCACATGAGAAGTACTCATGATGGTGCTTGGCAGAGAGTATATGCTCAATGCAGGTCAGCTGCTATTATTGTTATGAAACTCTTTGAGCTGTTGTTTCCCTCCCGTGGAACAGCTGAGGTGCTGGCTTTAAAACCTGTCCACAAAGTCTTTGATGCTGCTCCCATTCAGTGGTAGGGTCTATGTCCCCTCTCCTTGGACCTGCAGGCCTTCATGACTGCCCTGACCAGCAGAGTATGGCAGCACTAAGGCTGTGTGACTTCTGAGGCTGGCTCATAAGGGCTCTGTGATGCAGGTTCTACCCTGCTCTCCTTGGCCATTTGCTCTGGGTGAAAGCCAGCTGCCCTGTAGGAGGCTACTGATACTGAGGCTGCCATGCTGTGAGGAGGTCCAGGCCACAGGGGGAGGCCACAGGTGGGTGTTCCGAGCCTCCTTCTGAGCTGCCCCAGACTCCTCTGGCAGCAGGCACTGAGCATGTGAGTGAAGATGGCTCTGGGTAACTCCAGCTCCATCCTCAGCCCTGTTCAGCTTCCTGACCCACAGAGTCTACGCATGTAATAAAATGGTTGTTTCATGTCCTTAGGTTCTGGGGTGGCTCATGAGGTGACAGCAGTACTGGGATGCTGGTGAGTGCCTCAGTGGGAGCTCCTTCTGTCCCCCTACCAACTCTTCGATGTCAGGATAGCACCAGAGCCTACCTGGGAGGCCACGAGCTAACACTCTTGAGAGGTGAGTGTATGCCAGGCGCTAGGCTAAGGGGACTCCCCCAGAGACCCTGTAAAATATGTCTGTGTGAAGATTCCTATTCCTATTTCTCCAATAAGAAAACAGCCTTAGGAGAATCAAACCAATGGCCTAAGGGCCTATAGCTAAGAACTGCTGCAGCCAAGCGCTGAACTGAGTTCTGCCTGGTTCCAGAGGTGCTTTTTACCACCAGGCAACACAGTAGGAAGACACACAGGTGTGTCAGAGAGCAGTCCTCATAGTGAGAGTGCAGAAACCAGAGGCCAAGGCCGAAGATTTTCCTGGACTTGCAGGCTGCCCAGGAATCTTCCAAGAAAACCTGTCAGTTGGTAAAGCCACGTGGAGGCGGGACTAACAAAATCTGGAAATGTCTTCACCAGTTCCAAGGTACACACAAACATTACTTGCCCTCTCTGGGGGTCAACGTTCTTTATGATTTTTTTCTCTCCAGGAAAATATTAGTTCATTTATAGAAACTAAACATTACATGTGGAGGGAAAAATCAAAAACGTGGCATTCCTTGACTTTTTTTCTCCACAGACACAGAAACTGAGAAGGTTTCTCCATTTCCTTTCTCACAGACTATTTGTTGGTGTGGAACTGCCCGCACAGTCATTCCACAGGGGTGGAAAGTGGGGGGCAGTTCTCTGTGGGTCAGGGGTCACCACAGAGACCAAAGGCAGCCTCAGCCCACAGACCACTTCAGACGTGAATCAAGGCCTCAGAGGGCCTGGAGACCTGGGCCGCTGTCAATGGGAGGGCAGGTGGGCTGGGCAGAGGCACAGGCACTGCCTGGAAGAGGACCCGGCCACGCTGGTCTCGGATCCACTGCCTCCTTTCGGCTCCTCAGTGTGCCAGTCCTTGCCCCTTGCAGCTTTTGCTGCCTGTTTCCCCCACTCAAATGTGAGCTCTGGGGGGCATGTTCTTGCCTTCTGTCACTGGGCACCTGGCTCGTAGCAAGCCCTTGGCCTGTAAGTCTTGGGTAAATGAATGAATGAGCATGTCTTAGGGCCTCTCCTTGGCAGGTATGGGGGGTGTGCCTACTGGAAAGAGTACTGAGCTGGAGTCTAAATCCCCTCCTGAGGAGCCAGGGGAGCCTGCGTTCCTCCCATTCCTGGGACTGCAAGAGGCACATTCCTGTCCCTGAGTCTGGTTGGGCTCCTGCCACGCAGCTCAGTCTGACTGCCAGGTCCAGAAAGGCATTCCTGCAGCTGCCCCTCTGGCCCCACCCTCCCCTGGACCCCGGCCTGCACCACAGGTACAGCAGCATCTGCTCTGTCTTCTGAGGCTGCTAGTGGGAAGCTGGGACCACTGAGTGTGTCTGAAGCCTTCCAGGCACTCCTAGACACTCTGGTGATCAATGAAAACCTTTACATCCTGCTTCCAGGGCTGAAGCCAGGGATTTGGAAAATTGGTTGAAAACACTCCTATGAGCTGGGGCTTGCTCTGCTGTGGAAAACTGCCAGCATCAGCACCCCTTGACTTCTCCCAAGGCTGTGCCGAGTCAGCAGTTGGCCCACTCTGGAGCTGCCTCCGAGGACCAGGTGCCTATAGGGCCCTGTGAGCAACTTGGAGGCTGTGGCTGATGGTGTGAGGACAGGCGACCCCGAGATTTCTGTGCTGCGCTCAGGGCGCTTTCAGTCTGGTGGGGAAGACAGACACAGACAAATAAGCACACAGCTAACTGTGCCATTACTGCAGAGGGAACTGCCACAGAGGGGCATGAGGGCCAGCTGTGGGAAGGAGCCGGGGTCAGTGTGTGCCTATAAAAATCAGATAGTAAATAATTCAGGCTCTGCAAGCCACAGGGTCTTTGTTTCAACCACTCAACTCTGCCACTGCTGTGTGACAGCAGCCACAGGCAATATGTCAACCAAACGGGATGGCTATGCCCATATGAAAACAGGGGGCATATTTGTCCCACAGTTTGCCAGGGCCTGCTTTACAGGGCCTGACCTGATCAGGGGTGGGGGTGATAGTAGAAAGAAGGCTTCCCCGAGGCAGTGATGTTTAGCTAAAAGATGCAGGCTGATTCAGTGACGGAGGCAGAATCACAATGTCGACAATTATGATAATCACATCACTATGATAAAGTTCCACTAACATGTGTGTTCTGTGTTGGGCACTGTGCTAACAACACAGCTCTATGAAGGAGGGAGATTTTATGTCCACTTTACAGATGGAGACACTGAGGCTTCTGAGTATCCTGGATGGTCTGTTTGCACAATTCAGTTGCATTCTTCGCCCTGCCCACTTGCCACTTCTGATGGGGGAAGGCTGCCCCTTGAGATGTATCTCCTGGACCCCTTACCCCCAGCTTCCTATTGGGTTTGGCCAATGAAAGGCTCTGGCAGCAGCCTGGGGATTAGGGGAGAGAGAGGTCAGGGATTTCTCTCTGCTCCCTCCCTGCTTCCCCCTCCTTGCCCACAGACCCTGCACAGCCAACCATCCTCCAGAACTCAGCCATCCCTGGGGTTGTTAACACTTCTTCCCCATGCCCTTCAGCCTAGGACCCCATCCTCCCCAGGATGCTGGGCTGCCCCATGGGTCCTTTGTCATGCTTATTGGTTCTGTTCATTAAAGTTTCTTCATGTGAACCATCTGGGGTCCATTCTGTCCCCTGCCAGGGCTCTGATGCTGGAAGGGTAGCTGGCTTGCTGGTTTTGGGCTCACATGGCTAACAAACAACAGAGCCAAGTAGAGGTGTGGGTAGATGGTGGGAAAGGATAGTATGGCTGTCCCTGAGGAGGCTGGGCCAGGGCTGGCTCCTGGCTCCCCAGCTGACTTCCAGGACAGTCAGGGGTCAAAAGAGACCAGGAAATGCAGTGTCTCCTGCACCAGAACCCAATGAGTGACCCCACTCTTGAGGTCCCCAATTCCCACTTTTAGTTTTCTGAGCCTGCTCCAGGTCGCAACCCCCGGTCTCTTCCCTAACCCTAGCGAGGGGAGCCAGTGTCGCTCAACACAGACCTGGGCTAGGGGCTGAGGCTGAGGCAGAGCCTCAGGGAGGAGATAGTGGTGCAGATAGTGGTGAAGTGAAGGCACCAACTGGGTCAGACAGATGCCTGGAGGGGAAGCCTCTGTTGCTACTGTCCTGGCAGGAAGCAGCCTGCAGGCGTGTTGAATGGCTGGTGGTAGGGAGGGCCAAGCTGGCAGATCAGGGCCTGGGCTGGAGGTGAGGGTGGAGGCACCAGGGAGGAGGGGGCCCTCTGAGCCTCAGTGATGAGGCTGCAGCAACAGGACCCCCTCCATGCTTGGGCCAGTGTATACCAGAAGCCCACCCAGAGCTGCATCCTGGCTCTTCATCCACCCACCCACTCACCCATTTATCCCTCTCCTCCAAAAACCCTACAAAATTTGGGCATTTACAAAGGGCAGGCATAATACCAGGTGGTGAAGCTCCAACCAGGAACGATTTGGGCCCAGTGATCAGACAGAGAATAATGACAAGTTGTGGTGAGTGCCATAAAGAAGCAAACAGCTAAAATAAAGGCCACCCTGAGCCCAACAGGATGAGCAGGAGCAGACCACGAGGGGAAGAATGTCTAAGGCTCAAGTGAAGGGCCTGGGGAGGAGAACTTTACAGAGGCTTTGCTACTCTCAGGCAGAAGCGAGGCTTGAGTTTGGGCTGTGGATGGACAGAGCCACTAGGGAGAGGCAGAGGTGGCTCACGCCAAGGCGAACACTATCCCTGTGCCATGACCCTGGGCCCTCCCATCTCTCTTTGCTCAGTGGCTCCAGCATGGAATCAGGCAGCAGAAAGGGGCACTTGGAGATGAGTATTCCATCTGCCTTAATACAGTGAGGGCAGCGAGTGTGGCATGGAGACTTTTTGGCATTTAGAAAAGTCCAGGAATGTGGCTCATCCTGTCAAGGCTTTGAATTGGAGCGGCTGCAAAGGCTAAACAGGCCTCTTATTCACACTAATTTGGAGGGGAATCAGAAGGACAGACCACCAGTTTCACTCTGCTCCAGAATTCTGGCACTATCTCCAGAAGCAATAGGCTGGTCTTCGCCAGAGTTCCTTCTGTAGCCCTAAACAACTGCATTAGGATTTTGCTGCTATCTCCTACAATCTTCTGATAGGAACCCTGCCTTGCTCCCTCCTCCTCCCCCACAGGTCAGGTGTAGGTGACTGAGCACCTGAAAGAAACAATGCTAAGAGGGGGAAGGTGTTCTAGAACAGCAGAGATGATAAGGTAGAGACAAGACCAGCACCAGGAGCTTTCCTTCTGGCCACCCTTGCTGGAGGTAATCTGCCACGTATGGAAGGCAATGAATTTGGAAGACTGCAAGATATTTTAATATTGGGCTCATGGAAACCATGTGAAAATCGAGCTTCCACTAGGACTGTCTTGAGGTCTAGACAATAGCATTTCCAAAGGCTCTGAGAATCAACCAGCATGTCCGTCTAAGTTACCAGAGGCCCCCAGGGGTGCTAGAGGCAAGGTCCAGCTCGCACATTGGAGCCAGGAGAGGCTGGAAAAGGCAAGCAGCCCAGAGCCCCCCTGGGAATCAGGGCAGAGCCTTACTGGGTGGGGCTCATGAGGCTGCTAAACTGGCCCTATGGGCTCTGTGGCTCTGTGCCCACTAGGAGCTGTTACAGAGGTTGGCTTGGCACTAGAAAGTAGGGAGAGTGGCTTGAGCAGGTCAACAGGCTAGGGGAGGTGTGGCCCCAGCAGCTTGCAGCAGCCACCCTCTTATACATACTGCATGTCAGACTCTTGAGTGCTTTCCAAATAGTATTTTGTTTTTGACATTCCAACATTCTTGGGAGGAAGGTTTCATCATCCCATTGTATAGGTAAACAAGAAAATGAGGCCCAAAAGGGTTAAGTCACTTACCCAAGACTGCAGTCGCCTAGAACCCAGGGTGGTATGACCTAGAGCTCAAACCAGGGGGATGAAGTGCTGCTGGATTCCCCCTGACCCCCACCCCTCAGACCTCCCCCTGGGCAGCAGTGGAGATCAGCTCCTGTCACTGAGTTGGCTGGAATATGAGTAAGAGGTAACCATTAAATAATAACGATGAAGCAGCCAACACTGAGCGCATTTTCACAATGTCAGTATGAGCAGAACACTTTACAGGCAGGCATGAGCTTACCCAGGCATCACAATAACCTGAGAAGGTGAGTCCTCACATTACCTTCATTCTGTGGATGAGGCCACTAAAGATTAGAGGTAAAGCAACAAAGCTAGGAAACAGCGGAGCTCAAAGCCTGGGCTCAAATCACTATGGGACTCGTGTGTGTGTGTGTGTGTGTGTGTGTGTTTCACAAGTCTGATGAGTCACTTGCATCTGGTGGCACCAAATACCTTGGGCATCCTCCATACCCCACTCCAGGACATAAACCCAAGCTTGAGCAGCAGCCCGCTAAGGATCCAGAGAGCCTGGAGAAGATGCTAGTATTTTCTCTACCTTGTGTGTGCTCCCAACTTGGGGCTCTGATCCTGCCTCTCTTGAGGATGTTCAGGCCCAGGCTCTAACACCCAGGCTCTTCCAGGGAGCCAGTAAAAAGGTGAACCACAGAAGTCCCACATGATCAGGAGCCTGGGCGGGTTGGTGCAGGAGGGCTATTAACAGGGATAGCTGAGTCTGCTAAGCTGCAAACTTGACTTGCCCTTGGGCTTCCCAGTCAAGGCCAACTCTGGCAGCCACAATTAGGCTATTAGTGGGTTTGCTCCCACTCGAGGGAGCTACGATACCTGCAAGATCTTCCTTGGAAGAGACCAGTCTTGGAGAGCTGCTTCCTGGTTCGATTCTGAGCGACAGTCTGAAAACAAAGATTTTCATAAGATCAGATGGGTTCTTGTTTACCACATGGGAACCTGTTTGGGGCTGGAAATGGCTACTATTGTCACAGAAGCCAGGAAAACTGTGAGATCTGCTCCAGATCATAGCCACTTCCCTCTGAGGTCTCCAGGGGGTTTCCATGGCTAAGAAACAATCATTAAGAAAGACAACGTGAAAAGGAGTTAAGTGTGGCCTACTGTCTACTGAGTATAGATGTGTTCACTTTGAACCAGTACATTTTCTAGATGAGGAAACTGAGGAGTGGTGAGGTTAAGCAGCTTCCCCAAATTTATAGGATTAGCAAGTGGCAAAGTAGGGGATCAAACCCGGGACTATCTAACTCTGAACCAGAATTAGTTTTTGTGTGTGTGTGTGTGTGTGATACAGTCTCATTCTGTTGCCCAGGCTGGAGTACAGTGGCAGGATCTCGACTCACTGCAATCTCTGCCTCCCAGGTTCAAGCGATTCTTGTGCCTCAGCCTCCTGAGTAGCTAGGATTACAGGCATTTGCAACCATATCTGGCTAATTTTTGTATTTTTAGTAGAGACGGGTTTCGCCATGTTGGCCAGGCTGGTCTCAAACTCCTGAGCTCAAGTAACCAGCCCGCCTTGGCCTCCCAAAGTGCTGGGATTATAGGTATAAGCCACTGCACCGGGCCTCCGAACAGGAGTGTTTAATCATTACACTGTACTACGTGTCATCAGATGCCCTTACAAAGGGACAAGGCATTGGACACACTATGAGGACTGGCACTTCTATATACTTTTTTAAGCACCAATTAAGAACTTCTGGGTGAAAATGACAGAGTGAAACTAGATGCCAGACTCTTCCTTTCCTCCCAAAACTGACAAAAAATTATAAAAGTTTACAAGTAAAAGAACTCACCAGGTGCAACTAAACAAGGGAAGGGGCATAATTTAAAGCCATGAACACAAAGAATTACATTCAAGGAAAGAAAAAGATAATTCTGAAATTAGACCCAGAGCTGCATCATGGCATGGCTCTTGTCAAGCCCAGTGAGAGGTCTCACCAGGTCTGAGTGGGGGTCCTTATCATTTCCTCTTCTGAATGGCACCGGATGCTGAGGAAATAGGTGGAAAGCATGGCAGGTCCTCTGATGGAAACGAAGCCTCCATGGGGCATGATATAAAACCTGAGGGTATCTCTTTCTGGAATGGGATATGGCTTCCCAGTGAGGTGGAAACTCCAGCATAGGCCTTCTGCCAGAACTCACATATGTGAAACAGACTTCTTGTTTACTGCCTCCACAGAACCTGAGTCTTCTACTCCCCCAGGCTATAGAAGAGAAGAAAGACTAAAATCCCTGGACCTCCCAGCTAGCAGTAAGGGAAAACCAGTCCCTCTTACACACATGGGAGGAGGGCCAGACATCTCCGCCACCCTCATATCAGAGCCATGGAACATCCAAACAGAGCCTCTCAAATGGGAGCAATAAGAAAAGAAATGGTATGGCAATACAGCCAACATCCTCCTACCAAAGAAGGAAAGAGAACAGGTGAGCACTGCCCAATGGCCCAACCGAGAAGGCAGCCCCAGGAACAGAGGAAATCCCCTCAAGTGCTTGGAGCAGTGGAACAACTTATTAAGAACACAAGTAAAACAAAACCTAGAAAATGAGATGCTAAAACAAAGGAATGAGATGAACAAGGAGATTGAGGACCTAGGGGGAACAAATCCAGGACTGAAATAAGAGAGTGCCGAACAAATACCTAAGTAGAAATAGACCACCCCAGTGACAGCTGATGAACAAAGTGGAGACTGCCATTGTTAGAAAGAAGTGAATGGATATGCTGGGCAGAGCATCCAGCACAGGGATTCCTGGAATCCCTGGAGGAGAGAAGCCATGAAACAACATAGAAGTAGTCAAAGATACCAACAAAGGGAATTCTTCTGCCATGAAGAAAGCCATGGTCTGGGGAAATCTGGTAGAAAACCCTTTACTCTGAGGCATTGTCTTATTAAGCTTTTGAACTTCAAGGAATTTTTCCCCTATCAGGCAGACAAGTCCCCTAACAAGAAGAAAGAAAAGGTCAGATGGGCTCATTCTCTACAACACCTAAAACCAGAAGTCAACAGCACACAGCCTGCAGCACTGAGGGAGAGAAGCAAAGGGGGGGCAGCCAGCAAGGCCAGGCCCAGACCAATACAGGCATTTCCCTGAGGAAAAGCTGGGCATGTAGGCCGTGGGAGCACTTTTATCATTTTGGTGGAGTAGGGTAGGGGGACCTACTTCCTGAAGAAATGCAGCTAAATAAGGGACAGATTAAAATAAAGACTCCAGGAATGGAGAAGCTGTGGAGAAACAACAGGTGGTAAAAATTGAATCTGTTTAAAAATCCTAAACAGTGGGAATTATGATTCCTGAATATCATGTTTATGTTAAAGACTTGGACTATGCTGTAATAATAATATAACCCAAAAAGTTGGAAGATGGTGAAGTGGAGGTGAAGGAAGGGGAGAGGGCTAATTCTCACCTTTCATAACCAGAGTCGGCTGACACTATTCACAGTGTAAACCTAGTTGAAATTAAATGTATTGACTCAAGCCTCCTAATGTTTTTCCTAACCTCTTTTATTAATTTTTTTTTTTTTTTGAGATGGAGTCTTGCTCTATTATCCAGGCTGGAGTGTGGTGGCATGATCTCGGCTCACTGCAACCTCCGCCTCCCAGGTTCAAGCGATTCTCCTGCCTCAGCCTCCCAAGTAGCTATGACTACAGGTGTACCCTGCCACACCCAACTAATTTTTGTATTTTTAGTAGAGATGGGGTTTCATCATATTGGTCAGGCTGGTCTTGAACTCCTGACCTCGGGTGATCGGCCCTCCTCAGCCTCCCAAAGTGCTGAGATTACAGGCGTGAGCCACCATGCCTAGTCCTCTTTTATTAATCTTAGAAGACTCTTTTAGAAAATAATCTCTCTTTTGGTAAATAAATATTTATTTAAAGAGCAGCATTTATTTTTCACATTTTATGTCAGTTTTTTTCTGGTTAAATTAAAATGAAATTAAAGTTAGTATTTTAAATTAAAAATAGCCAGTGGGGTATAATCCAATTTTAATATTCTATCCTTGCATCTATCCATCCTTCCCTACATATATATAAATTTTCTATGCCTAGAAAAATGTCCAAAAGTATGTTCACTTAATGCTAATGGCCATGCTTTCCAATGGGAAATTGGGTAATTATTCTTAAATAAAATAAAATAGAATAAAGGCTGTGGGATGTAAAGCACCAGTTGGACCTCTTAGGATAATATCTCCAAAGCAGATGGGGTAGGATGTCAGCAACGCAATGTCACTAATGCAATAAATAAGCCATTGCATCCTTGTGCATGAGGAGCCAGCCTCCAGATGTGAGTTGAGCCACAGTGTGGGTCCCCCAAGCAGAATAACAGGCTCTGCCGATCTCTTGCCACTTGGAGCCAGAACCTCCCTGGGAAGGAACTCCCTTGATGGTCTGAGGGCCGGGGATAAGAATGCAGGCTTCCTCCCTGTGTTTGTCCACTTTGACCACAACTAAGAGCCTTTGTAAAAACCCAGGCTGACTGTTGTTTAGCATCAGGTGCTGGGGTGTTCGAAGTTCTTCAGAATAGAAGGAGTAATTACTCGTGATTTGCAGCTTGTCCAAAGATTATCTCATGGTTAGAAGTATTTATAGGCCATTTTTTCTCTCTAAAGCATATTAGTGTTAATGCAAAACCACTGTCTCCTTTATCATAATGCTGGTGCATAAATGGAAAATATCCCAGCAACTAAGTGGGAATAATTCTGTACTGCAGGGCACTCTTTTCAGGAACAGCAAATGCTTTGTAAATAAATAAAATGAGCTTGATTTGGGATGAACATAATTTTAATGGTAATCTCTGGCTTTCGTCTATTGTTCATATTATATTTTAACAAATTATTATATAAAACAAACAAAAACATTATGTCTATGTTCCAAAAGATCATTAGAACCACCTAGGGAGCTTTGAAAAAAAAACAAGTTTTCAGGTCCCACCCCAGACATCTGGATAATTAGAGAGTGTCCCAGGTGACTCTGGTTAACAGACAAGGCTGCAGATGCTCCTGCAGAACTGACCAGGTAGGGCACTGCTTGAACATCCGTTCCCCTTATGATCTTTCCTGGTGAGTGAATTACGGGTAATGTGGTGGTTGTCTCTGTGGCCACAGTTCTCTATAATTTTCAGTAACTTAGATGAGGACTATGTAATCTAGCTCATCAAATTCACGGAAACAAAACTGGAAGAGATAAAAAATATACTGGATAACGAGATTCCAAGGAATCATGGCATATTGGAAGCAACCATAAGATAAGATTTAAAAGAATACATATGCTCCTCAACTTTAGTGGGGATATATCCCACTAAACCTATCATATGTTGAAAATATTACAAGTCAATAATGCATTTAATACACTTAACCTACCAAACACCATAGCTTAGTCTAGCCTACCTTAAATGTGCCCAGAACACTTACATTAGCCTACAGTTTGGCAAAATCATCTAACACAAAGCCTATTTTATAATAAAGTATTAAATATCTTATGGCATTTATTAAATACCGTACTGAAAATGAAAAACAGAATGGCTGTATAAGTACTCAAAGTAAAGTTTCTACTGAATGTGTGTTGCTTTGGCACCACTGTAAAGTTGAAAATTCATTAAGTTGAACCATCCCAGGTCAGGGACCATATGTGAATGTGAAATGGTCATTTAAGTGGTAAATCACTGATTATAAGATGGCTGGGGCTTGCCTTAATATCAGGTCATATGAAAAAGTACTGAGGTTCTTAGTTGGTCTCAAGCTGAAAATGAACCAGGAGGACTTTCAAGCAGTATTGCAGACAAGAGTTAACACGAAAAATCCTTCTTTTCCCTCCAAATACATAGAAATGCTGGATACATTCCCAGATGCCACAAATGAAGAAAGAACTGAAAGCCATAGCAGGGTTAGTAGAAGATGAGGCCAGAGGGCCCATGGGGTTCCTATGAGAACTGGGTCTACTCTACAGGGGCTGTAGAGGGAAGGAGGTAGGGCCTTGAATCCTGTAGAGAGCTGAGAGTCATAAGGAACTGTTTCATCCATGAAACAGACTCTTGGAGAACTGTTTGCTGGTATGGAGATATGGCTAGAAGCTGCCTTGCCACCCGGCACTGTGGGTGATGGAGTCACTTGTGAGAACCAGAGTACCAAGCCTGTGCCATTCACAGCGTGGAGTCCAAGTTCATATTATCCACGCCATATGGGAAAGCCACAAGGAGAAGTTAACATGACACCTTCCTCTGAACTGAGGGGGCAGGGAGGGGAGGGGCTATGAGGATGGGGCAGAGATGAGTATGAGAGCTGTTCAGACATCAGCACTGCGGGGTCTGTGAGGTCAGAGATCACACTGCACACATGTGCTTGTGTGTGCTGGGGCATGGGCACTACTGCAGTGGACTTTGGTAAATCTACTTGCAGGGACCTAAGTGCTAAGGACAAAAGTGGGGCTGGGGGGCCTAACTGACACAGGAGTAGGTGGGGACTTACTTGTAGTTGTCATCTTCCACAAACTTCTGGAGCTCTTCAATGTAGCGTACAGACTTCAGGTACTTCTGCACATGGGGTAGGGTGGTGAGGTGATCTGCAAAAGGTGGACAAAATCCAGAGACTTCAGACTCTCCCCATCTTTAGGTCACCAAATGAACAGTATGGAAATCACTGACTTTAGATGCTCCTGGGACACTGAGATTCATTCACTCTTCCAGCAGTTGCTGAAGCTCTTTGGGGACTGACCCTGTCCTGGGCACTGGAACAGAGGGCTCATCAGGCCTCGGTTCTGCCCTTAAGGAGTGCCCCCCAGATGTCTGGGCCTTAGTCACCATACTTTGAGGTCACCATGTTTTTTCAGCCAGGAAGGAGGAGCTGCACTTCCACTCAGAGATCTCGGGCTGGGTAAAGATGGCTGGCTCCCTGGCCTCCAGAACAGACCAAAGCTAGGTGTTTGTGCCCTAAAACAGGTTTCCACTGGAGTAACTGAGCAAGCCTCCCATACCTACCCACCTGCTGTGTGACATGAATGCAAGAATGAATGAACAGACCCTGTCCAGCCAGGTGTGGAGGCCCAACCCAGAAGCTGGCCCAAGACTGGAGCTGTTGCATCCTACGAAGAAAGGGAGGTGCCCAGGCACCTAAAACATGCCTGTGCCAAGCTCTGAAGCAAGTTATTTTGTAGGAGTCATCTTTGTTAAGCTTCACAACTGCCTCACATGGGAGAAATAATATCCCCATTGCACAGAGGAAGAAACTGTGGCAACCTGGGTTTGGACTCCAAGTGATGGAAGGCTTCTGCCACATGGTGCTGCTTATCTCTAGAGTGACTGGTGTCAGCTGCTCTCTGCAGATCTTCACAGTCACTGCACTCCTTCTGAGAGGGCCACTGGGTAGGACAGAACAAGCCAAGAGCAGAGGTGGAGGGAGTAGAGGAGGCTGTGAAGAGGAGCAGAAAAGAGGGTGGGGAGGACCCTCGCTTTCTGGGAAGGTGCATCCAGGTGCAGCAGGAGCACCCAATGGCTCTGGGCCTTCACAGCAAAATCCTGAGCAGATCATTTTTTTTCTCTGAAGCCTCAGTGTTCTCTCTCTGAAGTGAGGATGACACCTGTATTACAAAGCTGATGGTGGAGATGATGCAGGTGAAGGTAACAATGGTAAGACAGCATTTGCTGGGCTCTCATGAAATGTCAGGGACTGTGCTAAGGGCTCTGCATGAATCACATCCCCATTTTCATACCTGAGAAAACCTTCAAGGGGAGAAAATGATTTTTCGAGAGACAGAGCTGGAATAGGAACCCGAGTCCATCTGACCCTGAAGCCCATGTCTGTGGTTGCTCTGCTGTCCAGCGGGACAAGAGGTGTCAGTGTATTTGTGGTAGAAAGGGCCTGAGCCAGGTGAGACCTGTACTGGGAATTCAGGTGCCTCCCACCCCTTTTGTCAGAGAAAAGCTGCTCTGAAGTATGAGAACCCCCACCTTGCCTGGGGATGCTTGTGGAGGGGCTTGTGAGCAAGGCTCTTGCTTCAGTGAACCTACCCTGGCTTCCTTGTGATATTCCCAAATGGAGGCTGTGGATTTCTCACATCCTATGCACAGTGGGTGAGGCTGGGTTCCTTCCTATACCCCTCTTTGGTGCTTTCAGACTTTTACTCCTTTGCCCTCTTGTGAAAACCTTGTTCTTCAGAGGCAGGTACCTAGAGCCCCATCCCCTATGTGCCATGCCCCCTTCACTGCTGACTTCTGCTGACTGGCTGCCTGCTCATCAGTGCTAATTCCCGGCAGACCTGAGCACTTGGCCCACAGTCAAGTGCCACACACCAAGTCTGCCATCTTCTCGGATGAAATCAATCCTCACACGGATGGCCCATCCAGCATTCTGACATCAACTCCAGTGACTTTCTCCATCCCTCTTACATACCCACCGTCATGGGCACACTGTGGATCTGGCCATGTGCAGCAGGGTGTGGCCAATCACTTATCACATCATTTTCCTTCTCCTTCTAGGCCCACAGCTAGATTACCTTTCCTAGCCACTGTCGGCAAAAGTGATCTGTACTGCTTGCAAGCCTGGCCCACAAAACCCACCCTTGTATGGTTCTCTCTCTTCCTGCATCTGCCAGCTGGATGCAGACTCCAGTGGAGGATTCTGAGGCCATGGGAGACGGCAGAGTCACAGACAAAAGAAGCCTGATCCCTGAATCTGCTTGGAAGAGAGCTGCCCAGAAAGCTCTTCATGAATGAACGAATGAGCCAGAAGCCAGAAAGACCTGGGCTCTGCCACTCACTAGACATGTGATTGTAGACAAGTAACTAAACTGTTTTCAGAGCCTCAGTTTCCTCACCTGTAATACCAAAATAGTAACATCTAGTTTGCATAGTTTTTGAAGATCAAACTTATATATAAAAGGATCTAGTACATGTTTGATGCTCAAGATATTAAAATGAGAAACTTCGTAGTTCTTTGTCTGGTTTCTAGAGCTTTGTCACTGATAAGACCTAAATTTCAATGAGGTAAGATTTCACAATTCCAACAAGAAGGGTACTAACCATAGCTGCAGGAAACTTGTAGATCAGCAATTATTCGAAGAATATTGTTCATCTGATTGGATCTTTGTTCATTTTCCATGATGCTGCCTGAGGCAGGATATGCAGAATCAATGTAGATTAAATCCAGAAGATAGATACCTAAAATAAAGAAGATATTTTATGATGGAAGGAGCTTACCACAAACCAGAACAAACACAAAATAGTACCAATCTGCTAAAAAATATAAAGGGTGACTTACGAAAAACTGAGATAATATTTGGACTCTAATTCCAATCCTGATTACTAATTTTTTTCACACAGACTGCCCAACAATAAATCAAACATCTGAGCAACAGCCAAAATGTATGCTGGCAAGATTTTAGCATTTCTAGTTCAAAAACTTTCCAGCAATAAGGTTTTTACCTGTAACCCAACGAGAAAATAACTGGACATGAAAGGGAGGAATACTTGTGTTTCTCACCAACTGGTAAATTTTAATAGGTCTCAAGTGCCATGTCCAGGAGAACACCCATTTGAGCTGATTTCAATTTTTTGTTTATTTACCCAGCTGTCTGTCTATTTGTCTGTCTATTCCCCTACCCATACCCCATCATACATTAACTAAGAAACAAAAGAAAAAATTTAAAAAGCAACAGCTCTCAGTACAAAGAACTAAAGCCAGAGAGAGAATTTGGCCAAGGGTGCTTAATGTTTAATAAGAAAATAAGATGCGAAATAAAAGTATGGCTATGTTACAGAAATAGTAACATCTAGTTTACACAGCTTTTGAAGATCAAACCTGCATCTGAAAGGATCTTAATAAGATCCGTCACAGGCCAGTGATAAGCTGGGGGGATGTGAGGACAAACTGACTGTCTGGGGATGGGAAAGGGGCACTGGCTATGCAGCCACCACATAGCTCTCAGCGAGCTGACTAGCTGCAAAGCAAAGAGGAGTGCTTGCTCTAAAAACAAAAGCCCAGGTAATCAAGAAGATCTAATGGTTAAAAATTTCTATGCATAAAGAAACAACATATCAAATTATACATAGTAAAAAAATGTTAGAAATAAAAATGAGTTCAACAAAGACACAACCACAGAGGGAGGCTTTAGTATGTCTTCTCCAGAATTCACTTAAGTATGGTATGTGTACACACATAAGCAAACACACACACACACACACACACACACAAATGCAATGATATAGTATTATAGTAAGAAAGTTAACAAGCTTGAGGCAGAGCATGGTGGCTCATGCCTGTAATCCCAGCACTTTGGGAGGCTGAGGTGAGTGAATCGCTTGAGCCTAGGAGCTTGGGACCAGCTTGGGCAACATGGCAAAACCCTGTCTCTACACAAGTACAAAAATTAGCCGGGCATGGTGGTGCACACCTGTAGTCCCAGCTATTTGGGAGGCTGAAGCAGGAGGATTGCTTGAGCCCAGGAGGTGGAGGCTGCAGTGAGCTGAGATTGTGCCACTGCACTCCAGCCTAGGCGACAGAGCAAGACTTGTCACGGAAAAAAAAAAAAAAACAAAACGCGCCAGGCGCAGTGGCTCATGCCTGTAATACCGGCACTTTGGGAGGCCAAGGTGGGTGGATCACCTGAGGTCAGGAGATCAAAACCAGCCTGGCCAACATGGTGAAACCCCATCTCTACCAAAAATACAAAATTAGCTAGGTGTGGTGGTGGGCGCCCGTAATCCCAGGCTACATGGGAGGATGAAGCAGGAGAATCACTTGAACCCAGGAGGTGGAGGCTGCAGTGAGCTGAGATCGGGCCACTGCACCACAGCCTGGGCAAGAGAGCAAGACTCTGTCTTAAAATAATAACCAGTGGGAGGGGGAGGTGGGGAGGGATAGCCTGGGGAGAAATGCCAAATGTGGGTGAAGGGGAGAAGAAAAGCAAAGCACACTGCCATGTGTGTACCTACGCAACTGTCTTGCATGCTCTGCTCATGTACCCCAAAACCTATAATCCAATAAAAAATTTAAAAAAATAAAAATAAAAAAAATAATCCTCAGCAAAAAAAATAAAAAAAAAATAACAACAACAAGCTTGGTTTTCTATAAGTGAAAATATAGTTCTTTTCAGGTACCCATGGAGTACTTACAAAAATTGATTTATATAAAGAAAACCAGTGAGTTCTAAAAAGTAAATGCCATATTATCTACTTTCATTGACCTTACTACATCTAGGATTTAACTATAAATATAGAAAAAAAAATCTAACCACTTGAAGACACCCATATGTGCACACACACACTGATGTAACTCATAGGTCGAAGAAAAAATAAAAAATCTGTTTGAAGAATCTATTAGAAGACATGACAAGGAGAATACTATACATCAAAACTTATGGTTCTGACCAAGGTGGTAATCAGGCGGAAACTTATAGCCTTAAAAGTTTACTATTAAACAACTAAGAATTATTACAAACATTGGAATTAACTTAATTCTATGAAAGCTGTGAGGGTTTGTGCATGGAAAGATGAGCACTGCACTACGAGTTATATGTTCGTTCTCTTATTTATCCTTCTAACAACCTATTTCACAGAGGAGGAAAAGGAAGCTCAGAGAGGATGTGTTACTTGCTCAAGGTCATACAGCTGGTAAATGATAGAGACAGGAGTTGAATCCAAGCCTGCCCCTCCAGAGTGCACACTTCCTGCCGTTGCAGTGGACCACTGGTGCTAGATACCATGAGTCATTCGTCTGCTTTTAAAATAGCTGCATATTTGTTATGGGAAACTGTTAAATCACAGAAACATATGCTAATACTTCTCACAGGAGCCATTTCCACTTCCTTTCTTGCTGGCAGTAGCACGTTTCCAAAATTATAATAATTAGAAATAATTTCCCTTGTAGAGAAGCTCCAAGTTTGGTGAGTTTAAATCTATAGATTTATTTTTTTTTTTCACCTTGTTTTTCTTCTCCCCTTTTAAAAAAACTCTTCCTGCTGACACCCTGAAGAGTCAGCAACGGCAATCCTGAAAATGCCATTACTGCTTCAACCAACACAAAAAGCATCCTCTAGCGCAGAGCAGAGAATGAAGGGTCGTGGGACACAGGGCAGCTTTATTCCAGATGCACTGTGCAATGAGCCCAGCTGGCTCAGAGTGGCAGAGTGAAAGCTCAGCCCAGGAGCAGAGAAACTGGAGAGTAGGATGGGGAGAAAGGAAACTTCCTCCCTGGGGATCAACTCCAAGACAGGAACTTCCCTCCTGTCTCATGGGATCCTGCCACCAACGCTGGAAAGTAGGAGGAAAAAGCTACAGCTCAGAGAGATTAAGAAACCTGCCCAAGGCCTCACAGCAAGGGCAATGGAATTTGAACCCAGGTCTATCAGGCTGCTGCACCCATGTTCCCACCCACTGGTCATCAGAAACACAAAGGGAGTTGCCTTTCCTCAAATACTACCCTCAACATGAAAGGTGCACTCTGTGCCACACTGTGAGGACAGGTGCTGGACACTGGCTCTCCTCTTGGGTTCCTGGAGGTGGATATCTGAGTGGTGCTCTGCGAACTGAGGCCCACAGAGTTCATAATTCTCCTCTACAAAACATGCAGATGCCCATACCTGCCTACTCCTCAAGGCCATACCTGCTGAGGACTGGGTAGCGCCCCCCCCCACAAAAGGAAGCCTCCTGGCCCCAGTGACCTGGGGAGACCTTGAGCCTAGGCAATGCCTTGAAAGAGCCTCCATATAAATAGCCTTTCACTCCCACAACAAAAACCACACCACAAGCAGCAAGTCTCCTACAGTTAACACTGCACAAATCCACAGAAATCCTTTTAGTATTGTATTAGTCCACAGCAGAGATATGTATAAGCCTAAACTAGAATGAAATCATAAGAATAACCACCTTCCACTTGTACCGTGCCAGGCACAACATGAGCCCTACATGTAGTTGGCACTCCCCACAACTGCACTCAGACACTTGTTTGCTTCATTAATGTATTTCAAATCTGACTCCCCATCAGACCTAAGGCCTCAAGGGCAGGAAGTACATCTTAACCCAGGAGCTCAATCTCCAGCATCTAGAATCAAGCACACAGGAGCTGCTTGGTAAACACCAGCTGATGAAGGAATACATGAGGGAAGGCATATTTTATTTAACTTATATAATAACTTTATGCAGCACATGCTACCCTCGTTTTACAGTTGATAAGAGAGCCACCACCAGTCAAGTGACGATAAAGATAGCTAATGCTTACTGAGCACTTACTGTATGCCAGGTTCTAAACTAAGAGCTTTGCCCAGATTATTGATTCATAAGAAAAATGCTGTTGTCAGGGAGGTTTTATTGTGATTTTATAAAGGAAGAAACTGAAGCAGGATTTGAGCACAGGTCTGTCCAGGTTGTCTACTGTCAGTCCTTCTTTCACTCCAGCCAGACTCTCTGATGTGTGGCAGCCAGTGAGGCAAGATGTGCACATAGGTGAACCCAGGCTACGGCTATCTGTGCCTGATTTCTCCTATGGGGTCAACACACTCCAAGAGGGATTATGACTCTGCTGTAGCTGCCTCCGCTGCTCCATCTACCACCTGCTACTCTCCACCTCTCTCACAGCAGTAAGTTTAACAGACTGCGGTCATCAGTCTGTCCCAGGTCCCATCATCAGTGGCTCACCTAGAGCTGGGGGCCTGACCAGCTCTGCCACATGACAAGCAGCTGTGGTATAAGTGAGAGAACAGGGGTCCAGAGCCAGGGGACTGAGCACCCTGGCTCTGCCACTCACCAGCTGGGTGGCCTTATGCAAGCCTTTTAACCTCCCAGGGCCTCAGTTTCCTTGACTGAGTAAGTTTAACAGGAGTCTCCCAGTCCAGGGCCCGGACCACTGAAGTGCCCAAGAAGCTGAGCTGACCTAATGGCTGGCCCTGTGGCGAGGCCGTATTTGAAGCAGCAGCATGGGAGGAATGGGCCCGGCTGGGTTTGCATAACCATGGATGGTGCCCAGATGCCAACTGTGTGGTGGCCACCCCTGAGCTGGACCAGCACATGGCCTTGTGTATGACTTGGGATTGTGGCTCATGAATCACAAAGGCATGTGGGCAAAGTCCTGCTATCTGGACAGAATCTTGAGGTCCAGGGAAGCCAAATCACCCCTGGATCCCCAAGGTCACCTGGATTGGGACGGCACAGCTGGACATCTCAGC